GCATTAGCTCTCTAGTCCCCTGTTGTACTATCGTTGTGAGATGGGTTTGGAGGTTTGTGTGGGTGTCTGCATTAGCTCTCCAGTGCTGCTATAACCGAAATTCTACATGTGGGTGACTTTGATTCTTTCACGATTTCTGAGGCTCTGGAGAAAAGTCCTTGTCTCCTGTCAGCCTCGGCAGGCTCAGCATTCTTTGGGGATCCCCATTAGACTTGGCATCAAGCTTTCCGTGGATCGAGGAGCTTTACAGGGCAGGGACCCCAGCACTAGCAGGTGTGTCCCACTCCTGGCTCTTTTTTTTTTTTTTTGGTTCATTATAGGTCTTTTTCCTCTCTCTGCTTCACTTCTCTCTCCATTTATCTACCTAAGATAAAAGATGTTACATGCCACACCGCTGGGAAAGTTTCTTACATTGACTCTGGGTTTGGTGGAGTTAAGGGTGCTCCAGCCCACCCTTCATTCTTTAACTGGTTTCTCACCTGACTCACATCATGCGGAATCAGCACATGCTTGCCACATGACGCCATCGCCTAACTGCCAGACCACCGCGTGCCTGACATGTACCACACTCACACAAGGGAACGGCAGAAAGTTTGTGGACATTTCCCATTATCTTTGCGTTCCATTTTCTCCACAGATGTTTTGAAGCTCCCTCATGTAACTCTTAATCCCCAGTACTGCAAGGCAGGTGTTAGTCGTGTAATTTTGCAGATGATGGATCCAGGGCTTAGAGGTGAGGGGTGGTCAGAACTAACTGGGGCCAGGCTCTCTTCGCCGGCCTCATGGTGTGCCCATGACCAGCCTCACCGCTGCCTTTTGGCTTCCACCCTCTGGTCTGGTCCCAGTCTTGTCTAACCCTTAAAGCTTCCTGTGGTTCTGCACCTGCGCATATGGCCGTGCCATTCTTAAGTGAGTATTTTGTCACCTCAGACAGACAGCAGCCTTTTTGTTTTGCTTTGTTTCTCGTTTTTTAACTGAGCTCTAGTCTACATGAGAGCAAACCTCTCATGGCAGGACTCAGTTTGAAGTTCACAAAGTGCCCGGTATGGGGCTGAGTAACACCATTAAAGACTCAGCCTCTCTTGTTCAGGGGTTCATTTTGTGGGAAAGTTTACCATTGTGAAGGGCTTGAACCTTTGGTGGTGTTTCATCACACTCAGAGGCCCAGGGCTCCAGGCCCACCTCCCACCTCTCTGGTCATTGCGGGTTACCCTCCCGTGTAGTGCAGCCGGGTGACTAGCTTCCAGGTCCTCCCACAGCTGTGCTCCTCCCCTGAGCCCACTCTCCCTTTTTAGTCTGGCTCCTCACCTCATCTCCCTTCTGGACGGACTCCCCTAGGCCCTTCTCCTGAGGTGGCCAGCCTCCCTCCCTCTCTCCCTGCTTTGTACCACATGGCAGTTCTTTGTCAAGCTTTCTCTTTCCTCAGCTCTTCAGTCAGCGCTGTTTCCCTGCTGCTAGAACCTGGCATGGGGAAGCCTTCAGGCATTCTGTGGAGTCTTGGGAATTGAATGAAGTGTGAATGTGCCTCTTGGCTCCAGTTTAAAAACCTTGCTTCTCTCTTTTGTGAAAGACTGGATTGCTGGTGTAGGTCCCCTTAGTGTTCCTCCAGAGCTGTCCCCCACAGTCCCCACTGACCAGTCATTTAGCTAGCATTTCTTAGTCTTTAAGATGTCTCCATTTTTCCATATTTTTTTTCAATTGTAGATAGAGCCCTGTTCCTAATACATCAGTAAACAGTAGTCCAGTAGAAGAAATTATTTAAACCCTGACATTTTTCCCTTGTCTGTAGATCTAGGGTCCTGTCAAATGGTTGTGTTTTATTTTGTATTTATGAAATTTCCTGTGGCTAACATCTGTCAAATTAGAGGACGTGAAGGATGGGGCTTTGGTGAAAATGGGTGTGTGGAGAGTGACTGACTGACTCCTCACGGTTCTCCACGCTTCCTCCTGCTCTCCACACTGCCCAGTTAGCAGGCGGCGTGTCCTCTGCTGTCCTCGTCTCTCCCTGCTCCGCACAGATGTGTGAGCAGTGACTGTAATGAACTTGGAACGGTGTGTTTGATCAATAATAGCTGGTGTCCTTTGATTGTCCTCAGCGGTGTCTCCCTGTCCAAGGATGCTTCCAAAACATTCATGGACAAATGGAATGAAAAGATAATGGAATTTCTCCAAGAACTCTCTGAAGCCCCCTGTATCTCAAACATAAGGAAAATATCGAAAGCCAATTTAAAAAAAAATGACTCTTTAGTTCTTTGTATTCTTTTCTCCTTTTTTAAATTGATAAACTTGATTTATTTTGATACTATAATATTTCAAAACATTTCAACACAGTTTCGTATTGATGCTTATGAAAGTATCTTTTCAGTAGCTTGAAAGGAAGTTAATTTATCAAGAAGTCTGTATTTTCACGCTTGCTCCTCTAAGCATTTGTCCTTTCATCTTTTTCGTTAACATCGTCTTTGTTTTCCATGCCCAAAGACATTCCATCAGCTCTGTGGATGTATGTGGCAGTGGAAGGAAGTGATTGGGTAAGAGGTGGAACAGCTCGAGCGTGACTGGTTGAATGTCAGCCGGAAGTGCAGACGAGTACTGCTATAGCAGTTTGGAGATATTGTTGTTGTTATGTGCCGTGGAGTCGGTTCTGACTCATAGCGACCCTGTAGGGGGTTTCCAAGGCTATAAATCTTCACGGGAGCAGAAAGCCTCATCTCTCCCATGGAACAGCTGGTCATTTAGAACTGCCGACCCGAAGGTTAGCAGCCCCATTCGTAATCACTACCAGAGCTCCTTTTGGAGACATAGAAGAGCCCAGATAGCCAGGTATCAGATGCCTGAGCTAACCTGTGCAGTTACTCCCTACATCACTATGGTTACCTGTTAGTAATAAATATTCATGTCAACTCGTCTATCAAAGTATTATTTTTTAGTGTTGTTACTAAGTGACATTGAGTCATTTCCAACTCATAGCAACCCCAGACAGGGTTTCCCGGGACCGGCTGGTGGGTTTGAACCTCCAGCCTTGTGGTTATTGTAAAGTGGCACACCAGGGCACTTATCATGAGTAGGGTTACAATTCTGTTGTCTCACATCGGGACTATTTTCCACTTCCTGTTAACTGCATGGTCTCCTTTCTAGCCTGTACCTGAGATGAAAGTTGTGTCGAATCTGCCGGCCATCGCCATGGAGGAGGTAGCCCCAGTGAGCGTCAGTGACGCAGCTCTCTTGGCCCCGGAAGAAATCAAGGTAAGAAGCCACCGTTAACGTTGTGTAGCTGTTTAGAAATTACTAGTTTATGCCCAAGTTTCAGTTTGTTTAATGTCATTCGCCATGAGTTTTTTTTTTTTTTTTATTCTTGTACATCTCATCAGGTGCTTGCTGAGTATAATCAAACGTGGTGGTGGTTGTGCGCCGCCGAGTCCATTCCGACGTAACCGCCTGGTACAGGGTTTCTGAGGAGCAGCTAGTGGGTTTGAACTGCTGACCTTATGATTTGCAATCTAGTGCTGATCTACAGTACCACACCAGGAGTGCATAATCAAACTAATAACGTTGTAATATTTGGATATCAGGAGGGTTTTTTAATATATGTTCAAGTTGTTCAGTATCTCGTTATTATCCACTTTGAAAAATAGCAGTGGTGGTGTTGCCAAGTGTCATCAAGTCAATACCAACTCCTATTGACCCCGTATAGGGTTTCCAAGGAGCAGCTGGTGAGTTTGAACTGCCGACTTTGTGGTTCGAAGCAGCCTGGCAGTCCAGTGTTTCATCCCACAGCGCCACACCAGGACTCCAACATGTTAGGGTTAAACCAAGTTGCTTGTATTGTTAATACGTGAACACTACTTTAATACGATCATTTCCCCTTGTTTTGTGTATTGAATGCTTACCCATGTGGAGGCAGGTGGTAGAGCAGAGCATTTGCAAACTCAAGTACGTGAATGCAAAATGAAGGCAGTTGTTACTCGTGGGCATTGAAGACCCGGCCTTACTCAGTAGTGGTGGATTTTGTCAGAACCTCATCTTCCTGGCTGGCTGAAAGCAGAGGCCTCTTCCCCCCTGGCCCCCCACCTCTCTGTTAGCACAGCAAACAGTCCTGGCAGCTGAGAGGAGAAAAGACGAAAGTTCACCTCTTACACTGGATACATGTTTCCATTCCCTGCCACTGTTTTCTTGGAAACTTGGCCCTTAGCCCACTGGCTGTTGTTGTTAAGTTCCATCGAGTCGGTTCCAACCCATAGCAGCCCTGTATAGGGTTTCCCAGATGCGGCTGGTGAGCTTCAAACCGACCTTGTAGTCCAGTGCAATAACCCACAGCACCATAGCAACTGGGAAATGGGGGGCCACCTCAAGTGAGGCTTGGGTCTGGAGGGTTTCTCTAGTGGTGCTGCGGGGTAACTCATTGGACCACGACTCTGTGGTACTGTTGGATAATCACTGGCCTGCTACCACACGGTTGGCAGTTCAAACCCACCAGCCACCAGCCACTCCTCAGAAACCCTATACAGGGTCACTATGGGTCAGAACCGACTCGGTGGAGCTAACAACAACATCCTTTGCTAGCCCTGCTCTCCCTGCTGTCTGGGCTGGTTTGGGAACATCCACGACTGCAGCAGTGTCAACAGCTGTGTCCCCAGCTCAGGGGCGTGTCGTGTAAGCTCTGACAGATGGCAACTGCTCCCCGCTGGCTCTCACCTCCGGGCTGTCCACAGACCACCCACTCTGGCTCCGCGCTGCCATTCCCCTTCCATTCCCATTGCCTGACTTGATGATCGATTCAACTAACTAGCATGTTGGTTATTTCTTAACAGGAGAAAAATAAAGCCGGAGACATAATAACAGCTGCTGAGAAAACCACTACAGACAAGAAACGAGAACGAAGGAAAAAGAAATACCAAAAGCGTCTGAAAAGAAAGGAGAAGGAAAAACGAAGTCAACTGCTAGAAAAAAGGCAAGCCGACCAGGCAGGGAAACCCACCAAAGCAGTGGCCTCACAGAAGCTGAAGCAGCTGGTGAAGGCTGGGAAGACGTCGATACTGAAGGTAGGGAGTACGTGCCTGGGAGCCAAGACCGCTGTTGAGGCAGGAGCCCTGGCTAAAGCCGCACATGTGGCAGGGCCAAAGGGCACCTTGTTGACTGGCTGGAATCGCCTGCTATCAGCACCTTCTCCCATCTGGCCTGTTGGGTGTTGCCTCCTCGTAGTGTCCTGGGTCTTGGCTGACTGTTTTTCCACCCATTTTCTTGTTACGTTACAAGAGCATCATTCGCAGTATTTCTTCTCAACGCCTCTGTGCTGACTGACGTAATTCTTAATGTTTTCTTTTAGTCTTTCTCTTAAATCATTATATACATTGTTGGATAATCACTGGACTGCTACCACAAGGTGGGCAGTTCAAACCCACCAACCACTACTTGGAAACTCTATACAGGGTTCCTGTGAATCAGAACCAACTCGGGGGCACTG